CCCCCTCCCTTTTCCGAAATCACCAGAGCATGCAGCTGTTGAGCATGAGAATTTTGGTATTTCTTTATTTCTATTTCAAGCGTGATGAGCCATAGGGACAGCTGGCTAAGATAGGAGGACTGTCTCAGGGATTCTGACACGCTGACACCTGCCAGGGGTGGATGTGCTCCAGCACGGCCGAAATCACAGCTCTCCAACTCCCATCTGAATTCCTCCCTCTCTTTTGCAAAAGCACAGTCCTCATCTGGGATATCTGGGGTTTGTTAAGGTACAAACGACCCCTTCTCTGCTGCTGCTTTCTGAGAAGCCTCAGGGAAGCGATAAAATGCTGCAAGTAAATCAGTGACACTTCAGCACCTGAAAAGCAGAGTTCCCAGGGCTTGCACGGTATTTTCTCACTAATTACTGTTGCAATTTAATAACTAGATGATGTCCAGTCACCTGGCAGTGCCAAGCTGTTTCAGACTGTTATGGACAGAGGGTCACGCTTCTGCTGAAGCAGTCAGAGGGTGCCCTCTGGGAGGAGATGGACTGATCCAGAGCAAAGCTTGTCAAAAGTTACCCCTTCCCAATTTTTGAGGAGGTTGGATACAGCAGGATGAGGGGGCAGATGATGGGACTTCTCCTCTGGTTGCACTGAGCTTGACTGACTCACTGATTTTGTGCAACCCTGGCCCCTTTTACTTTCTGAAGTTTAATGCTTATCGTGGGTTGTGGCAAGAGCTTGGAGGGACATGGTGCAAACATAGCCTACCAGGTGGAGGAAGAGCCTTGGCTCTTTTATTACAAGCTGGCAAGCCCAAGTGTCAGAGAAAAGCCAGGCTAACGTGGCTGGTTAGCAACCAGACCAGAGCAGGAAAGTCTGGCACGGTCCCTGCCTGCATTTCCAGGCTGGGTCGTGTCTCATGTCTCTGCTCTCCACCCTGCCCACTGGTGTAGTGATGCTGACAGCATCTGCCCAGGGCTGGTGGCTCCTTGCCTTCTTGCAGCTGAACGTGGAGACTATGCTTTGCGCAGCACCGTTCTCCACAGGTCAAAGAATCAGGCTGCAGCCCTGCTATCAAGCTGGGAGGGAGAAACCCTCTTCCTTGCTCTCCTTTTTCACAGCCTGCATCCCAGGAGTGTGGGTGAGACGTTTCTGGGCTCAAGCCTGAAGTTACCCCCTTGCTGTTAAGGGGACTTGACCTTTCTTCTCTCTACTCACCCAACTTAGGAGCCTATGGCAAAGCTCTGCAGCCAGTGCTGGGGGAGCAAAGAGATGCTGGGGCAGCTGGTCTGCAGGATGCTCTGTGGTGCTGAAGGAGGGCGACTGCTCCCCAGGGAGAGGCAGGAGGCATCTTCCTGCTCCAGCACACACTCTGCAGTACCGAAATGTGTGGCAAACAGGCGGCCCCTCTGAAGCACATCTCCTGTCATCAGATGCTGATTCAGAAAGCCTGATGAAGGAGAGGGGAAGAGGGCAACACGTCTTCCCAACCCATGCTGGAAATCTCTGCTTTTCATTTAAAAGTTACATTTAAGCACTGAGATCAGGCTGGACTGTGTAGATGTACAGAGAGGAGGTTGCACAAGGGCTTTACTGTCTTGGGACGGTGTATTTCTCAGCGTCAGTGCTCGTTTTGCAGGTGGTTAGAAGTAGAGCCAGACTGCGTGAGGGATGAGTTTGGAGGAGATAATGTGGAAGCAATGCATAAAGCAAAGGAGGAACTGTTGCCCAATAAATCTCCCATTATGAGAAATAGGCAGGGGAAAAGGGAAAACTAGCAGGAGATGAGTTTAAAACAGATAGAAGAGAACACTGTCTTACACAGCAGGCAGAAATTCGTCGTACCAACAGGTTGAAAAATGGATGGACAACAGGATTTCTAATGGATGCTGAAGGGAACAGACAAGACTCTTTGACAAGCATCCCTCTGCCTGTGCCTAGGGATGCCGGAGAAGTGCCAGCTCTGGATCTCAGGGAGGCCAGACACACGGGGTCTAGAGTTTTCAGTGCTGGAGACAGCATCAGGCTGGCTGGACCACTGCTCTGGCAATGAAGGACAGCTCTTACATTTTCCAGAAGCTAGACAAACACATCCTGAGTTTTACCAGCAGCATCTCGCTACAGACAGCGCAGGCTAAAGGGTTTGACATTTCGGATTAAGCAGCCCAGACTGGTTAGACTGGGTTGCTGAGCCCCCTCGACTCATGGATTAGCAGCAGAACACCCAGTCCCCAGTTCATAGAGTCTCCCCCACAACCTCTGCAGAAACCTGGAAAGTTTAATTACACTCATGCAAAATAAATTACAAAAATTAGGTTAAAAAAATCAGGTTTAATTGTGGGTACAGAGAAGAGAAAATCAATCCTGTACGCTGGGAACCACAAGTGACCTCTCTAGCAGTGACATCTTCTCTTAACCACAACAACCATAGAAGGGTTGGAGTGAGCTTACTGGCCTCCTTTTCCTGCTAATCCTGTTGTCCCTTCCCTCCCTGCTGACCATAATTGTCACCTGTGATGGCTACTAACCAGGGTCACTGCTATGACAGGGGGATCTGGTCCTCTGACTACCCCACCATTCTCCCTGACTGCACCATCCCTGCAGTGAGGTTGTCTTCTCCTGGTACCCAGGGAAGATGTGATGCCTCGTTAAGTGAATGAAATCTCTGCAGACAATTATCTTGTCTTGAGCCTAATTGTGGCTATTAGATAACGTCAGAGGGTGGTGGAGGTAGAACAGCCCACATGTTTTTGACCATGTCAGGGAGGAAGAGCACCTCCCGCGGCTCATTTAAACGAGCCATCAACGCTATTAACGCTATTAACGGTCATTGCGGCAGAGACCGGCTCCAGGGCAGGAAAGACTGCGCTGGGTGAGGGTTCTGTAGCTAAAAAAGGCCGACGAAAAGCTCTTTCGGGGGCTTTTTTGGAAGCAGGGCAAAGCCTCCTCCTCGTGGCCGAGGCTGACAGGCGGTGGGCGGGCTGCTGAGGGGCCTGGGCCGAGCCAGCACCCGGGGAGGGCCGAGGCCTTGGCCCACTGAGCAGCAAGCAGTGCTCGGGAGCTTGTCTCGGTCAGTGCCTCACGTCGCTGTGACTCGGACTCGGACAACGGCGTCCTGAACCTCTGCCTTTGTACAAGGTAAGTTCAGTTTCTTTCAGTAGTCACACCACTGGTACTGAGCCTCCCGCTTGTTAACAGACCAGAAGCTTTGGTTAGAACTAGGTCACAGGCCGTTGTTAGGAAAGCCGTGGGCACTCTGACAGAGGCCCTGTGTAAACATGTGAGTGTCCAGGCCTCTGGATGCAGGGAGTGCCGGGGCCTGGCCCTTGCCATGGAGGGTAGTGGAGACAACACCTGCGTGAGATGCAAACAGGTAAATGACCTCCTCAGCCTGGTGGTTGAGCTGAAGGAGGAAGTGGAAAGGTTGAGGACCATCAGGGAGTGCGAGAAGGAGATAGACTGGTGGGCCCACTCCCTGAGTGTAAGGGAACATGTTGGGGCCCCACATACACCAGAGGACCCCCTTCCCGCTTCTCACACGGCGGTAGAAGGGGATCTCGGAGAGGAGGGGGGATGGAAACAGGTCCCTGCTGGGAGAAGCAGGCAAATCTCCCTGCCCCTCCCACCTCCCCAGCTACCCCTCCAGAACCGATATGGAATCTTGGAGGAGGAGCTGGCTGATGGAGAAGAGAATGGAACACTTCGGCTGGAAACACCAGAAAAAACAAGGGTCCTGCCTCAGAGTTGGAAGCGGAACCCTCGACGGCCTCCCCCACACTCTCAGATACGCTTGTTTGGTGATCTGGATTTTGGGGATGAGGCGGATGATGCTGGAGACGATGAGCTTCCCAGTGAGGCTCCCTGGATGGGTCGCCCAGCCCCGTGTCTCAAGACTTCAATGACTAAAAAAAAAAGAAGGGTCATTGTAATCGGTGACTCCCTTTTGCATGGTACAGAGGGCCCAATCTGTAGGCCGGACCCGTCCTGTAGGGAAGTCACTTGCCTCCCTGGGGCCAGGACTAGAGATATACTAAATAAAACTCGCACATTGGTTCAGCCCTCGGACTATTACCCACTTCTGATATTTCAGGTGGGCCATGATGAGATAAATACTAGAAGCCTCAAGGCAATGAGGAAGGATTTCAGAAGGCTGGGGCAACTAGTCAAGGGATCAGGAGCACAGGTTGTGTTCTCTTCTATCCCACTAGTCACAGGGCAGGATGAAGGGATAAACAGGAAAAAACAACAGTTCAACTTATGGCTGAAAGGCTGGAGTAAAAGCCAGGACTTTGGCTTCTTTGAGCACAGGCAGACTTACCGGTCATCAGGCGTGGTTGCGGCAGGTGGGGAAAGCCTAAGCCAAAGGGGAAAAACGATATTGGGACAGGAGTTAGCACAGCTCATTAAGAGGGCTTTAAACTAGATTTGAAGGGGGA